TTTTTCGTAGGTGAATGTCTCCTGCGCAACGTGGAACACCACCTGACCAAGAATCTTGTATATGTTCTCAGGCATTCCTTCTTCCTTAAGGCAAGTGATAAGCAATGGCTGAAGATCTCTAATCTCTGCAACATCTATTTCAAACAGGCTTGAAGTATGATCACAAAGTGAATCATAGAGTCTTTTGATTGCTATCTCTCTAGACCTATAATCAGAACCAGATGTTGCAAAGAAACTCAAGACTTCCATTGGAGTACGTTGCCAAAAGTAGTAGTACAATTCACGGTCAGATTCCACTCCAAGATCTTGATTATCAACCGAAAAATGTTCGAGTTTCAAGGCCGGATTCGGAACATACTTGTCCATATTCGTAACCATTACAAAGATCTTCTTAGCATCTTCCTTTGTATTTGTTCCAACTCCTGCGATCCCATACGCAAACGCTGCCACGAAACCGCATTGTTTGCTACTCCATTTACACGATTTCGCTTCTTTCGCAAGGTACTTATCGATATATTGAAGCCCTCTTATCAGAAACTCTCTTTCCATCCCCATCCACATAACATCAAAAGCAGATTTCATAACATTGTGAAGAATCTCTCTCCTCAAATCGAATCTCGTTTCCGAATCCGAAATCTCAATCCCCATTTTAACAGCAGATGTCAAAGCCAAAACCCATTCTTCTTCTTTATCTTTCTCAGGATGAAGCAAAACCTTATACACTTCCTCACGTAACTTCTCCAAGAACCGGTTAATGAAATCCCCGTAAAGCAATGGCAATTCGATGAAGTAATTAAACGCCCTAACCGGATCTTGATTCACAAGCAACAGTATATACTCACTAAGCTCTTCCCATCTTCCATTATAAGAACTCATAACATTCTCAGCTACGAAAGAAACAATGACTCTTAAGAAATTGGTATCACATTTTCTTGGATTTTGCCGTGTCAAGCAAGAAATCAAAAGCGGTTTGATTTCATGGAGAGCGATAAGAGAGAGTTTGAAGTTGCGATTTGTTAAACCGGGGAGAGTTTCAGAGAGGTAACAGATTGATCGGAGTCTAAGGACTTCATCGGAAGAATGAAGATAGATCTTGAGAAGCTTTAGGGTTAAGCAATTTGGGAAGTTAGAGACGAAGAAATCGTAGAGAGTACGAGCTGTTTTGTATTCTTCGGATTGTTTACGTGTGAAGAGTTGATCGATGATCATTGTTAAACCTTCGTGGCTTGGAGTCGCAAGAATCTCTCTGGCTTTCATGGAGAGATTTGGTGGAGGATCAGCCATTGAAGCCTCTTTTATTTTCTTGAATTTTTTTTGGATCATTAGTTCTTCAGAAAATGGGGTTTAAGGAAATAATTTGAAAGTGGTTTCGTTTATTGTGCTGAGTTTGAACCCGAAAAACCGGATCTAATCCAAACCGGAACCCAATATTTACTGTTTTGATTTATTTATCTTTGTTTTGTTTAACTTCCGAGTATACTGTTGACTCTCATCTTTGGTGGTTTTCATTTGAACTGTTTTTTTTTTCCTTTTTGGTGAATTCGTTAAACTGTTTCTGAAAATACAATCTTTTTTTTAGATGAAAACACGTTAAGTTATTCTATAATAAAAGAAACAAAAGATATGAATATCTTATAAATAAATAAAAACTATGCAGATGTTTTGGGCGTTCAGTTTTTGGAAAATTCGAGCCTGAAAATTTGGTAACCATATAAAAACAAAACTAAAATTTGGTTTGGTTCCTATATTAGTACTTAAAAATTTGAACTGAATAAAACCCATTCGGCTCCAACATATTCGGTTTTGAATGGTTATTTTGTAACCAAAAGTAATCAAACTACCTGATTTAACCGAAAAAATCGAAAATACCCCTACAAAACGTCAAAACCAGAACAACATAATCAAAACCACTTGAATCCGAACTGAAACGAGAACCGTGAATAATGTTTTGTATAGTTTAGGTTTTTAGTAGGTAACATTTGGTTCTTGGGTTTTACCCGAACCGAACCAAGAAACCGGTTCTGTAAATTGGAGCCGTTTGGTATTGTATGTGGGGTCCGGTTCTATAATTGGGTGTCAAATTAAAAGTGACATTTGCGTTTGGCTTTTACCCACATCGGTGCTGGGAGAATCAATGGCTAGAAAGCCACTATCTGAGGAAAAAAATGCTGGAATGCCACCCTCTAATTTCTAATTTCATTTAACATTTTTTTTTCAATCAAAAGCGAAGGAAATGTCTAAAAACCCTTTCAAAAGGTCAACAATTACAAAATCCTACCTCAAATTTACTATCTCCACAACCAAACACTCCCAATCAATCTCCAATTATTCTAAAAAAAAAAACCACCGCTCCTTCTCGTCTCCTCCTCTTCCATATCCACACTCGCTCTCTCCGCTTCCTCTTCTCTCTATTTCGCCAGATCTATCGTCTCTTCTCCACTTCTTTATTATTCATCTCTCTCTCACATATGTCTCACTCTCTCTTCTAAATCTTTACCGGAGAGCCGTCACGTTTCTCCGTTCAAAATTGAGATTCTCAAGTTTGCGATCGTATCCGATGATAACAAGTTCACTCAGTTTTCGCCTCTCTATTCTACGATCCCGCCGGCTCCTCCTCAGTTTCCGCCGTCGCGACATCAGAGGACTGCTCTCACTTCTACTGCAACGATTGTGTCTCTAAATATATAGCTGCAAAATTACAAGACAACATCCTCTCAATCAAGTGTCTTGTCTCTGGTTGCGAGAGCTCTGGTCGGCTCGAGCTAGATAAGTGTCGTCAGATCTTGGCCAGAGAGGTTTTTGATCAGTGGGGTGATGCTCTTTCTGAAGAAGTATTGATGCGTTCAAAGAAATTCTACTGTCCTTATAAGGATTGCTCTGCTTTGCTTTTCATTGACGAGAGTGAAGTGAAGATGAAAGATTCAGAGTGTCCTCATTGCCATAGAATGGTGTGTGTAGAGTGTGGGACTAAGTGGCATCCAGAGATAACTTGCGAGGAGTTTCAGAAGCTAGCGGAGAACGAAAGAGGAAGAGATGATATTTTGCTCGCGACGATGGCAAAGAAAAAGAAATGGAAAAGATGTCCTTCTTGAGAAGTCTCAGGGTTGCTTATACATGAAGTGCAGGTATATGTATCTTCTTCTTCTTATCGCCTGTGATGCAAATTTGTGAAACAAAGGTTTTTTTTTTAGTAATTTGTTTAACACATTTTGTGTTTTGCTACAATAGTGGAACTCCGCCGATGGACCATTCTCATTATTGTAATTATTGTAAGCGTTGATTTAGCATTAGTATTTCCTATTATAGGTCTCTAAAGGTAAAGCCTAAAGCTAAAAATTAAGCTTTAAGGATATGGATTTCTATTTGGTCTTGATGCTTTGTACCTATTTTCTTTTCTTTAAAACTATCTTGATAGTTGTTCTGAAGAGATTGTGACTAAAATGATTCAATTTGCTTTCAGACTTCAAGGGTTTTGCTTTACTCTGACATTGCTTTGATCTAGAGGATAAAATGAACAAGTTTTGATTTCTTGACTTCCAAAGTAAAATGAACAAGTTTGAGTTTTCAAGAAACCAGATTGGTGATTATTTGTGTATTTTGTCCTTGTTTATTTGTATAGGCACTTCCATATATTCGTTGTATTGGGAATCTTAGCCAATAACGAAAAAAAAGAGTTTACTTTGAAGCAACAACTATGAGAAAGCATGGAAATTTATCTACTTTGGAGCTATAATGAGCAGAAGATTAAATAGTTGCAACTATACTATTTGATTGTTCGGATAGTTTTTTTTTTGTTTTTGGTGCAACTGATAAATTTGGATATAACTACGTGTAAAAAAATTGGACCTTTTGTTTGTGTATGGTAAAGTGGATCTTTTGTCTATGTACTTTGGTGGTATTTTGGTACAACTGGAAATACTAGGTACAACTGAGATGTAATTATTCGGTTTAACTGGGTAAACTATGATGAAAAAAAGTAAAAAGAAAAAAATATTTAGATTATATTTATGTTCAATTGGTTTCGTAGGTACAACTAGTCTATTTAGGTACAACTATGTGTATGGGTTACTTATAAGAAAGTACAACTAGATCACTTAGGTACAACTGAGACAATTCAAAATAACCTTTTTTTTTTTAAAAAAGAATTAAAATAAATTTAAACGAAGTAAAAAAAAAATATATTAAATATGATCCACGTAAGCATGATTTTTGACGGCAGGATATTAATTTTAAATCATCACACATGGTAAAGTGGGCCAAAGACAGCATGATATTAAAAAAAAATTGTTTTGTTTTAAAAATAGTTGTACCTAGTTGTCCAGTTGTACTCTCATATTCATAGTTGGACTTTAGCGATTTTTGTGTATTTCTAGTTGAACTTTAAGGAAAATTAGTCATTTATAGTTGGACACATGATGTTACACTATTAATTATCATTTAGGAGGTTTTCATAATAACATGTTCAGAAAAACTTGATTTTCACCTCTTTTGATTCATATGTAGTGATCACTTACTAAGTCTTCCTTATATTGGAAGAAGTGTGTTATGTGAAAATAAAAAAAAATTTGTTACAAAATTGTGAAATTCTCGTTGTATTGATTTAAAATAGTTTATTTATATTTGAAGATGTTTTTCGGAATTTCTTATATAAATCTTAATTTATAATTTAATAAAATTTATAATACAATGAACTTAATTGAACTAGTGAACTAATAGTATAGATTAGGAAAATGATAAATTCGAGTTTTAATTATTTAAAATTGTTTGTTTATAGTTCAAGATGTTTTTGGGATCGTTATTAACTCTAATTTATCGTTTTCATATTTGTTGTATAGAAGAAATACGTATACATTTATGGTCTTAGTTGTACTCAGTCGAACCTAGTTGTACATATACGACGAATACATACATATACAAATATGTTTTTAGTTGTACCTAGTCAAAGCAAGTTGTACAAATTCAAGTACACATACGTATACAAATATGTTCTTAGTTGTATCTAGTTGAACCAAGCTGTAATAATCATTTATCTTCCACAATATCATATATTTACTTTGAAATTAAAATACCCAAAGTACAACGTCGTTAGCAATAATATAATAACCTAATCTAGTCTCTCTATCTAACCAACGTTACTTGGTTTTCACCATTTTTCTCACTACAATAGCTGTGAACCCTGCTACACAAAGAGACGCCAACCATCCACCGGCTATACAAACATTTAATTCAACATTGACATCAGATGAGCTTCGAATATAATACAGAACAGAGCAATTAGACCAAATTACCACAAAAGCTACCAAAGAACAAGAGTATATAAACCAAGTTTTGACTTGTAAGTGAAGATTAAGTTCATCGATCGCGTGTTGAGTGAGAATATATACCTACAATGTAACAGATTTTGACACCGGAATTAAGCAGCCGAAATATCTCTGACAGAAAGATATTCCTTACAGCAGCAGGAACAACCGAATCAAATATCATAAGAACAGAGAAGATATAAAACATCCCAAACAAAGCACTTGGGAACTTAATAGGCGCAGCTACAAAAACAATGTTCCTTACTTGTCCATTCTATTCACTTTGTTCTTGTTTCCACAATGAATCTTCCTGGATCACTCCGGATCACCATGGTTCTTCCCTTTTGATTGACGCAGAATCAAACAACAATAACAATAACAAAAACTGAGTTCATTTCACAAAACTTGCATGATATCACGAAGAATCCAAACCCGTGATCCAACAACGCAATAAGAGATCAAATTACACAAAAAAATCAATAACTATGCTAAAAAGATCACGAAATTTAGCTAAACCATACCCTCAATCCGTCGAGAGAGTACTCAAAGCGAAACAGAAACGACTTTGCTCGTCGCGTTGTTATTCTTCTTCTAGTTAGATCTGACCGGTCTTCTCTCGTGTCCGGAGCTCTTACAACCTAACTGAAAGACGGACGCAACGCCGAAGGAGGCAACGGCCGGTGATATGGACGAGGCGAGCTGAGCTGGTTTGGGGAGAAGCGCTCGGAGCTAAATCAAGCAGAAGAGGAGAAGGAGCTCTCGATGGAGAGCCGATGTCGAGAAAATCGAATTTTGTTTTATTGCTTTTTCTTTTTTTGTTTTTAAAAAATTAAATAATTTATAAAGCTTTATTAAGGGTAAAATCGAAATAACACATTATTAGTGGCATACAGACTCCAAAATGGCAGGCGTGATTAAAATTTTCGGTTCAGTGGCAAACTAGCCTGTGTCTCGTGCTGGGATTTATTTAGATTTAGTGGTTCCTAATGAACTTAATTTTAGGGTCAACAGGCAAAAATTGAAGATGAATCTCTTCTGTTTACTGTTTTAGTATGTCCTTAGGACTTAATAGTACTTTTCTCGGGATCTAATATGTGACTTGATTTTTGGAAATCTGCGGTTTTGTCTCCTCTTCTTTGTTCTATCGATTATATTACACGTATAGCTATTTTCCTGGGAAAATGTCATCCTAGTGTTGCTTGATTATGTATGGTATTTTGGGTATCAGAAATGATACAAGCAATTTTCAGATGTCAACTGTGTATAATTTATTAGGATTTATAGCTCTTGCATGCTCTTTAGTCAAGATCTAGACATTTACATGGGTGTTGAGAAATTTTTGGGGTTTTCTTGTAGACAAGCTTTGTCATTTTTGATATTCATGTATATTAGTTGTGTTCATTAGCTGACTGTCAACTGTTTGATTTACCCGCAGTTTTTTTGATCGATTCGTTTTCTGTTCAATTGAATTCTTGTTCAGTTTCTCCGTATAGTTCGGTTAGGGAATGATTGATTTAATCGGAATAGTCATCATAGTTGATAGAGATGTGTGCTCTTCATATTTTTATTTTGTGGAAATGAAACTTCTTCTGCAACTTCCTGAATTATTGCACTCTTTGTTTATTTATAATCAATGATATTTTGTGGAAATGAAACTTGTTCAGCAGTTTCTGAATTATTGCAGTCTTTGACTTATTATTTTATCATCTATAGGTATGACCGTATGATTGTATTCCTCTTTGCAGTGAATATTGTTTGGTTTCTGAAAATTTGAGCAAGATGGGAGGATGTGTATCACTACAGATAGCCTGTGATCAAACACTGAGCCGCACCTGCGGCTGCTTGTTTGGTGATGGAAATTACATTCATTTGATGGAGGCTAATCTTGATGCTCTGCAGAAAACTATGCAAGAGCTTGACGAGAGGCGTGATGATCTGTTAAGAAGAGTTTCCATAGAAGAAGATCAAGGTTTGCAAAGGCTTGCTCAAGTCCAAGGATGGTTTTCAAGGGTAGAAGATATTGGGTCTCAGGTCAATGATTTGCTTAAGGAGAAATCAGCTGAAACTAAGAGATTGTGTCTTTTTGGATACTGTTCTAGCAAGTGCATATCAAGCTGCGAGTATGGTAAGAAAGTATCGAAGAAGTTGAAAGAAGTTAAAGAACTTCTATCTAAAGGAGTTTTTGAAGTGGTGGCGGAGAAAGTTCCTGCAGCAAAGGTGGAGAAGAAACAAATCCAAACCACAATTGGTTTGGATTCAATACTTGAAAAGGCATGGAACAGCCTCATCAACAGTGAACGAACAACTTTCGGTCTTTATGGTATGGGGGGAGTTGGCAAAACCACCCTCCTAGCTCTTATCAACAACAAATTTGTTCAAATGGTGGATGGATTTGATGTTGTGATATGGGTCGTGGTCTCTAAAGATTTGCAAAATGGAGGCATTCAGAATCAGATTCTGGGAAGATTACGTCTTGACAAGGAATGGAAACAAGAAACAGAAAAGGAGAAAGCCTCTTCCATATACAATATCCTTACTAGAAAGAAATTTGTGCTGTTATTAGACGATTTATGGAGCGAGGTAGATCTGAACGAGATAGGAGTTCCACCTCCAACTCGAGATAATGGATCAAAGATCGTTTTCACCACTCGTTCAAAGGAAGTTTGCAAAGACATGAAAGCCGATGATGAAATGAAAGTTGAATGTTTGTCACGGGATGAGGCATGGGTACTGTTTCGAAATATAGTTGGAGAAACCCCATTAAAGTGTCATCAGGATATTCCCACACTAGCAAGAAAAGTGGCTGAGAAATGTTGTGGCTTACCCCTTGCACTCAATGTTATTGGCAAAGCCATGGCATGTAAAGAGGATGTCCACGAGTGGCGTCATGCGATTAATGTTCTCAACTCGTCTAGCCACGAGTTTCCGGGTATGGAAGAAAAGATTCTTTCCATTTTGAAGTTCAGTTATGATGGTTTAGGGGATGAAAAAGTCAAATTGTGCTTTCTATATTGTTCTTTGTTTCCGGAAGATTATGAATTAAAGAAGGAGGAATTGATAGAATATTGGATCTGCGAAGGATTTATAAATGGAAACATAGATGAAGATGGAAGTAACAACCAAGGTCATGCTATTATTGGTTCGTTAATTCGTGCACATCTATTGATGGATGGTCAATTTACAACGATGGTGAAAATGCATGATGTTTTACGCGAAATGGCCCTTTGGATATCTTCTAACTTTGGAAAACAGGAAAAAAAGCTTTGTGTCAAATCTGGCGCGCAGTTATGCAATATACCAAAGGACATCAACTGGGAAATTGTGAGAAGGATCTCGTTGATGAGTAATCAGATTGCAGAGATATCTTGCTGTCCTAACTGCCCCAATCTTTTGACCCTACTACTCCGTAATAACAGTTTGGTGGATATTTCTGGTGAATCCTTTCGTTTTATGCCAGTCCTTGTTGTCTTGGATCTTTCGAAGAACCATAGTCTTTATGGATTGCGAGAAGAAATTTCCTGCCTGAGTTCCTTGCAATACCTCAATTTATCATCCACATGGATAAAATCGTTACCAGTTGGTTTGAAGGGGTTGAGTAAACTAATAAGGTTGGATCTGGAGTTTACTTTTGGACTTGAAAGCATTGCTGGGATAGGAACAAGCTTACCAAATCTTCAAGTGTTGAAACTATTTCATTCCCGTGTTGGTATTGATACAAGATTAATGGAAGAGCTACAACTTTTACAGGACTTAAAGATTTTAACAGCAAACGTAGAGGATGCTTCGATTTTGGAAAGTATCCAAGGAGTAGAAGGACTGGCGAGTAGTATTCGAGGTTTATGTCTACGGAATATGTTTGAAGAGGTTGTAATATTAAACACGGTAGCTTTGGGTGGTCTTCGACGCCTGGCTGTTCAGAACTCCAAAATCTTAGAGATAAATATAGATTGGGAAAACAAAGAAAGAGAAGAGCTTCTATGTACAAGTTCTCTAGGCTTCAAGCACCTCTCCACTGTTTCTGTATACAGTTTGGAAGGTTCAAAAAACTTGACCTGGCTGTTGTTCGCTCAAAATCTCAGGTACCTAACTGTATCGGATTCATCATGCATAGAAGAAATAATAAATTGGGAGCAGGGAATATATATTAGCAATGTGTGTCCAGATATTTTGGTTCCATTGGGGAAGCTAGAATCCCTTGAAGTAACTAATTTGTATGCACTGAAGAGAATTTGCTCGAATCCTCCAGCTCTTCCAAACCTGAGACAATTTGTTGTCGAAAGATGCCCCAACCTGCCGAAAGCTGCCACTGAGTTTCTGAGATATGAACAGGAATAATGGATGGACAGGCTTGGAATTTGGAGGAGGCTCCTGAATCCAGGGATAGTCTCCAGTTTCATGTTAGGAAGATGAAGCCATTGCATATGTGTGAGTGTGACTGTTTCCACAGTTCTTAATTTTATTTGGTTTTATGTGTTGCTTTTGCTGAAATGACATTGTTGTCAAGTTGCATTCCTCAAGTTGGAAACTTTCATTGAGAAACTGTGTAAATTCAAAGACTTTTGGTGTGTAACTGTCATTAAGAAACTGATGCTTGAACATCTAAAATCTTTTGGATGCTTGTCCAAGTGAGGAGCTTTTACAAGATCAAGCAAATTCCATCTTCATTGTGTTGATATCTTGCCCTGTTCAACATTACAGTTTGTACCTTGTACATGTATAGTGAAACTTTAGATTTAAAAGCTAGATTGTATGGTTGATCCATCCAGAAAACGAATACCATGATAATATCGCACGCATCAGCTCTTCTTCTGGACTATGAAAGTTAGAAGAGTCGTGCCCATGAACATCTAGAGAATTTGATGTGTCTTGTATAAATGTGCCTATTTACAGAATCTCTAAGAGTAAGCTACAACGTAGACATCACTTGCTCGACCGGACCAGCTCATTCAAGAAGACGAGTAATGGTTACCGAGACATCCTTGTGGTAACCAAGCAGAGTAGTAGTTAGCAGTGCAGGTGGGGATGCAGAATCTGATGGATGAATATAGACTGAGTTAGGGATTTATTTGTTGTTTTGTACCAAACCGTTGCTTGGTATGTGCGAGTCTTAGGAAAGCATAAGTGAAAGATAATGCACAACTAACTTTGAGCGAATTATTTTTTTGAGAATTAGGTACAACATTTCCTTCTCCAAAACAACCTAAAACTACATGATAAAACTAGATTTAGAAATCAATTTGTCCAAGTCTCACAAGTTGGTACAGTTTGTACTTGTACTCACCACAACACGCATGATCTTAATTACTAATACTTTCCATGCCCATGCCTTTGATTGCATACAGCCCACAAAGCAAACCCTTAACGAATATCACATACCACTCCAATTGTTTCTTCACAATGCTTTCTAAATCTCTGAAAGCTCTCCTCAGAATCCCAACTTCCATTCCTCTTTCCACAAGCTCTCTCATTGATTCTATCACCTTATGAGCATCTTGCTAACGTACCAGCATCTATTGATGGATGGTCAATTTACTCGAGAAAAATTTGGATCTTTGGTTCACAGAAAATGGGGTTTAATTAAAGAAAGAGTTGGAAGAAATTTGAAAGTGATTGTTGCGTTTATTATGGCGAAACTGATTCCTAAAGACCGGACGTAATCAAAACCGGAACCCAATATTTTTGTGCTTGAAAAGAATATGAAAATACATTTGAAAGTTAGTAGATTAACCCAAATTATGAGTTTAATTACTAGAGTGTCTCAAAAATTTTGGGGGTTAAAATGAGTTATTTTCATGACCATTAAATATATTCAAAAAAAACATAGAGAAAAAATATTGGGAAAAAAAAATTATTTGAAAAGTCTGTTGGATTAGTTGTGATAGGTTTATTCTCCACGACAGACTTATTTGTCTACGACAGATTTTTTACGGAAGATTTTTTTTCTTCCACAGACTTACTTAAAATAGGTTACGGCAGATATTTAATTTGTAACAGATTTTTTCCCCACGACAAACTTATTTTATGATGACACCACATAATTTTGTAATTTTGACATATTATAAAATTGTGTGGCAGATTTATTGTTTCGTTGGCGTCAGAATTATATTTTCGATAAAAATCTGCCATAATATAGGAAATTTATTTTATGTTATGATAGTTATTTTTTTTAACAAAAACATGGAGTCTAATAGCAGATTTGTTATATAAAAAATAAATTGCTAGAATGACATATACTCGCAACCGAAATATTTTATGTTACGACAGATTTTTTTATATTACGAAAGATTTCAGATAGGTTATAAAAAAATCTGTCGTATGATGACAATTTTATTGATGAAGATAAAATTTTAATCTTCACAATAAGATAACGACATACATATTCTTATCGCGACAAACTTATTTATATTAGATGACTCATGTGTGGCTGTTTGTCTGTCTCCTCGTTAATATATGATTAGGTTAAAAACATTTTCGTTATTTTTTCAATTTTTTTTTTTTTCGTTTTGTATTTTTTTTCTTTTTCTATTTTTTTCTATTTTTTAGGTGTTTTTTTTAGTTTTCTAGTTTAAATATAAAATAAAAAATAAAAATTATATTTTCGTTTTCGTTTTTGTTTTCTAGTTTAAATATAAAATAAAAGATATGAGAATAAAATACTTAGATTTAGGTATTTTTTTCCTAATTTTCTATTTAATTTAATTATTATATGTTAATTAGTTTATTTTAATAGAATTGAAAATAATCTTTGAACACAAAATTTGTGTTATTCTAGTAAACCACAATATTTAGGTGTTAATCTAGTTTTTTTTTTCTAAATTTGTGTCAAACTAGGTAAATTTTAGTTAATAACAAAGTGTTATAAAAATATTTAATATTTTCATGAAATGAAAAAACTTTCTAAAATCTAATTCAAAATGCAAATATTACATCATAATAATAAATCCTAAAACTTTGAGGACATAAACATGCTATTTTCATTATTGATCAATAGATGTGCCCGGCCTCTACTGTTATTTGGTCCTAGGTCTCACTTATGAAGAATTTCAATGGAGAAACACCAAACTACGTTATATTAACCAAGTTGCTAATATTACGAATAAACACAAAATTAGAAGTTCCAAAATTACTTAGTGGACCAAAAGAGGCCAGATTTGAAGCAGTGAAGTTGTTGGTAATTGGATACGTCAGAATTCGTTGATGAATGAAGTGAAATTTATATTTTCCTAGAAATTATTGATGACAATAATTCATATTTGGAAATTTAATCGTTGATTATATTTTGAAAAAAAAACAAACACCAGGTTTAAGATGAGTTTAAGTAAGCATAACTGAAAAATGGTGATATATGGTTAAACAGGAATATGATAGATGAATAGAGAGGTGATGAGATCTTTGAGCTTTCCATGCGAATTGGAGAATTCATCAACACCATCCTTGCAAAACACATCGATCAAGCGTGCAATGTTGAGGCAACGCACCAGAACTTGTCGTGGCACATCAGTTGTCGTCAACAACTCCTCCATGACTATCTTATAGTTATCTCTAGCCATCTTACTCAATTCTTCAACCGCTTTTTCTTTAGTAACACCGTGTTGATTCATGTAAGAGTTGACCCCATTCACCACCTCTCCTTTGCTCATCTCTCTCTGCCCATTGTATATATATACCCATAGTTTATAAGTATGCAAGACTAACGTCACATAGCAAAGAAAAAGAATACACAAAGACCTAGTCTTAATTATTCCTTTAATCTTTTATTTGGTATAATACCTCGTAGGTGATGATGTCGTTGTTTACACGATACATATAGCACAAAGCTTGGAATATTTTTGACTTGGAGTTGAACCATTCGTACAATTGTTTCTCATCACAATCTTCCATCGCGATAAAGCTGTACAAAGCAAAATCATCCATCCCTGCGGTGACCAGCCCAACCTCCATGTACTCATCAAAGGTTGGCACATGACCTTCACTTGCCCATTTTGATAATGCTAGGTACGATCTCCCTAGGTTCTTAGTCTAAGGATTTCATTTGAAAAAAAAAATCTTAATTATATTAGAAATACGCACTTATTTTAATATGTTTCTTACCCTTTCCACAACACTTAATGTATAATTTTTTGGTATATTATTTACCTCCTCTATCGTCTGTTTTACACAAGCAGATCTTCCTCGGGGCATCATTTCTCTTTCAATCTCTCCCATAGTTTCACTCACCAAAAAAAAAATCTCTCCCATAGTTTCCAATATTAATCGGACGACTATTCTCGAATAGCTTTGTAGTTCGTCAATCCCTTCAAGATCCCACCTGCCCAATTTTGCCATTTCATATAAATCTTATTAAAGTTATTTTTAGTATAAGACAGAGCGAGAGAAATAAGTTTTTCCATATCTTATGTTAAATTACCATATAAACTATATCGTTGTGCTAGAACATACCTCAAATAATAAAATATTTGAATCTTATATATGCACTTTATGTTTTGTACAAAATCATATATACGCCCTAAGTCTCGACTATGTGGAATCCATTTATGCATCTACGTGGATTTGTTTTATGCGAGTTTGTGGAGAAATTGGCTTGTTCATACCTCCACAAGCAATCTATTAAATTCATACATAAACTATATTATTGTGCTAAAACATACCTTAAATAATTAAAATTTTAAATTCCATACATATACTTCATGTTTCAGAATAAGACGAACACTCGAAATCACAAGCTAAAACAATGTAGTATTCTATTAATTGAATGAATTTAACGTCCTTTTATGGTTCTATATTCTTCTTTTTCTCGAATGAGGAATAGGCTTGGGCAAAAAACTGAATCTAAAAATCCGAACCGGAGCCAACCCAAAAATTGGTTCGAGTTAGTTATGGGTATAATTAAATTACCTATTGGGTCATGTCCATGTCTGTCCGTGAGTATTGGTTCGGGTCCGGATATTACGGGTAATTGAACGGGTATTCGATTACTAAATATTTCCCCAAGCAGATATCCGAATATCCAAAAATACCGGATACTCGTACGGATTACCAGTTAATGAAGATTATCCGAACGAGTACCTGAATACCCGATATATTTATATATTTTTGGATTATTTTGTACCCGATTCTATCCAATCCTAGCAAAATTCTTGAAGTTTAATTCAAATCTCTGAAAAACATAAAAATATTTTGGGTATTTGGTTATATTAGGTACAAAATACAAATATTTCACAAGTAAATTAAATTTACTTGCAAACTCAAGAAAGAAGAATGAAATAAATTTGTATGGAATTTAAATTTTTGAGTATTTAGTGTATGTTTTAGCGCCATAGTATAGTTCGGATATGAATTCAACGTATTGCAGTTGTGGAGGTATGAAAAAGCCAATTTCTCCACAAACTCGTATAAAACACATCCATGTAAGTGTACACCAGATTCCACGTAGTCGATATTTTAGACGTATGCATGATTGTTTTTTTTTTTTTAAAAAAATTTTATTTTGCACAAAACATAAAATGCAAATTTGAGATTCAAATGTTTCACTACTCGGGATATGTTCTAACAAAATGATATAATTTAGGTAATTGTGGGTATCAAAAAATCGATTTTCCGACAAATGATGACGGAGAGTTAGTTTTTTTTTTTTTTTTAAAAAAACATTCCACAAGGCATAAATAATAAAAATAAAGATAAAATCCACAAGGCATAAACGATAAGTGGATGCATAAAGTACCTTTGCAAAGAATCAATGAGACTTTTAGCTTGGGGAAAAGTTGCATATGAATCACAGGTGTCGTTCAAAGCAACCAGGACGATGATAATTTTAGCCGCTATAATTCTCCCAAGTGAAAATCGTGGCTCGAAATGTATTCCCACTGCAGGGAAATAGGACTCCACAATTCTATCCCTCACGTAAGGAAGCTTAGTGGGGATATCTAGATCTTTCCACCATCTGCAAAGAAGAAACAAAAAAAAAAAGGTTCAAATATTACAAGGACGCACGCATAGAGGTCAATCATTATGAGTTCCTTCACTCACACGGCACAAGAATCTAACAAACCCACAAATGACAAATCTATTAGAGATAGACCAAAAACAGTGTCTATAATTTTGAGGTGACTTAATAGAAAGAACATGTAACCTTATCAGTTATAAATAGTCTTGATTTTTAATAAATTAACAGAATAATAAAAATCAAAACCATAAATCCTAACACTTAATCTAAAAAAGTAAAGAAAAGAGTGTAGTATAATATGGTGGTCACATACTTGGTGAGTGTTTTGAGCTCTTGTATGTAAAGCAAACGGCAATAGTTGAAGTTGAGCTTTGCAAACTTGAGAAGCGTCAGGTCATGACCTTCTTCTTGGTCATAGAAAGAGATGTATTCTCTTGCGACTAGTATTTCCATGTTATGATATCGAGCTCTGTACAAGGCGTTACGAATATGTGATGAGAGATGTGGAGGAATAGTAGTACTCGTTACCAAAGACTCCAACTGGTTCCTAGTGAAACTCTTTGCTTCCTCCATTATATCTTCAGAGGGTGTCCCAAGATGCGCTGCTTGGTATAATTGTAGCATTCCTCTAACATCCGCGACTAGACTCTCCTTGAACCTCCCATCTTTACCTTTGAATCTTACGAAGGTATCTATAATGAAACCGATAGATATATATAGCCAATTATCATGTTATATATAGATTCGAATGTGATGATTCAAGGAAAATTATATTGTTACCGCATGAAATCTTGTGTTGATACAGTCGAAAAACCTCAAACATGATAGAGATTGTTTCCAAATCGTCTTCCTCGGATATTATCCCGTCCAACTCTTTAAAAGTCTGGTTTAGGATCATCTCGATCTCGGTCTCAATGTAATGCGAGATACCGAGGCTTATAAGCAAATGGATTAATCGAATCTTGTCCTTGTTACTGTTGTGAGAAGAGATGAGCTTGTCTCTCACGTTTGGCTTCATCACCGATTCAATCTCTCTCTCTATTTTATCAAATTCCTACGAAGATAAACAAATATATGATCAAGAATCATTTTACCTTTTTTTTTGTATGAATGTAAAATTATATACAATAAATAAATGCGACTTTTGTTTTGAAAAGCATGAAAAAATTAAAATAACTTAGATATTGTTACTACTACGAATCATTTTCTCTGCCACAACTTAGAAACAACTTAGAAAAAAAATCATTTTACTTTAAAAGAGAAGAAGTAAAAAAGAATCATGTTCTCTGGATACAAATACTTACGGAATCGTCGACGGAAAGTGAGAGGAAGTAATCTCCCCAAAAAGTGGGAGCAAAGTGGGTCAAAGGACGACCACTCTCAAGATCATCACTAGTCGAACTCTTAGTATTAGCCTTAACGCAGAAAAAGTTGGGTTTCATGGGTTTTAGAGAAAGAGAAGGGCGAGAAAACAGAGAGTGGCTGGTCTTAAGAAACATAGGAGGTTGGTGAAGGTCAGAGAGAGTTCCGAGCCCAAAAACTGTTTTTGCTGCTTCCATTCTGTTTCACTTAAGTTACTCTGTTTTTAGGTTTCTTTCTTTTCAAAAAGCTTTCTCATTTCTGCTGTTCTTTTTCCCCTTAAAGTAAACAAGAAAGCTACGTCACGTGATTCACGTGGTCAACGACCAGGAAACGTTTAATGAATACTCCTTCCGTTTCAGTTTAATTGTCGTTTTAGGATTTAAATTTTGTTTCATAATAGTTGTCGTTTTAGGTTTTCAATGTAAATGTTTGGTGAAAATTCCAGTTTTAACCATACTGTTTTAATGTTTTGGCCAATGAAATTTTTTATAAAATATATTAATAAAGGGTAAAACAGAAAATTAAAAGCTTTTCTTAATTTGTGTGAAAAACCTTAAACGACAACTAAAACGAAACGGAGGGAGTATAGTGTAAAAATAAAAACTTATCTTCGGTTATGGTTTTTTGGATACGACGGGAAACATGGTAGGGAACAATGTCAGACGAACAATTATTAATTTGATTTAGTGGGAAATCCAAACTATCATGTTATTCAGTTTACCGGTCACGTGACCTATTCAATCTCTCTTTCTTTCCGAAGTGCATTCAATTCCTTTCAAATTACGACGTAACATGGTTTATGTTGAATAGTACTCCCTCCGTTTCATATTAAATATTGTTTTAAACTTTGAATTTTGTTTTAAAATAAGTGTCGTTTTGTGTTTTCAATGCATATATTTGGTAAAATTTTCATTTTTATCCCAATTAATTTAATATATTGACCAATGAAAAATGATATAGTATACAGATAAGGGGTAAAACAGAAAATTTAATTGTTTTCGTAATATGTGTGCAAAAACCTTAAACGACACTTAATATGAAACAGAAGGAGTATATTATTATTGGAAATTATACTAGATTCTTTAATAATTGGTTTTTTGACTTGTAGAATAAAAAATTTTTTTGGTCAAATCTTGGAACTATATTATTGTTTGCCTTTTTGTCATTTTGTGTGTTTAAAGAATTATGTGTTTCTTTACATATACATGGAATTGTGCTTAATGATTTCGTCTCTAACGTTAACGTTGTGATTGTTATTTATGTTATTCCTTATTAGAAAAGGAAAGAGACGTTGTCTTGTTTGTTATAATGAAGAAGACGTGTTCTTCATTGGAAAGATACACAAGAATACAAGATTGCTGTTAAAACAGAGAAACCAGAAAACAGAGTTGTGATAACTTGTGTGAAGCTTGTGTTGCTTTTGAGTTTGGTGAGAGATCACCTTGGAAAGAAATTGTTGTTGGTGTGAGGTGCACAAAGTAAATACTTCTCCAAGAAAAAATGCATAAATGATTAAATGGGAATAGAATGAGTTTACTTGTTTAATCATAGTTCATGTTCTTAGATACATGAATTAGAATTTATGTAGAAATTCTAAGTCTATCTTGTACTTCTCAAAATGATCTTATAAACTCTTGTTGCAGCCGAGGGTTAGTTTGAAAAAGAACCAACGATAACACGTTAAATCTCGTGTCGTTTCTATATTGTTTATTATTAAGCTTCCTTACTATTTCAATATCTAGTCTCTCTCAATTTTTTTACAGTTTATGAATCGTGTTCTGCAACAAGAACCACATCGGGTCGACTGTGGTTTTGGTCCGTGTACATACGGAGGTTCGTCTCTTAAGATAGACATCACTCTGAACGTCACGTTAGCTAGGTTTTTTGGGCCCAAAACCCCTTCTTGCTGCTGCCACGATTTTAGTTCGCAAGTAATGGTATTTGTTGAAATATGACATTAAGTTTCAAAAAACACAATAGTAAAATGCAAACCTGAAAACACACAGAGAGATGATCACAACTTAAATGGTTCACAAGAAGCAAAGACCAGAGATCGAACTAAAGGGACGTGTTAGGAGATTAGATGCGTTGAGGATATGATCTGTTGATACAAAATATCAGAGCAATGTAGCTAGCAAGAGCCATCAGAGGCGCTGCCTTATTCCGATGAAACCTTAGAAGTTGTTCCTCTGCTTCTCTGTTCAGTTTCTCTGCAACTGCCCTCGATCTCTCCAAACCTATTAGCCTTGGATACGTCAGCTTTCCGGCCATTAGAGCAACCTCAATGGAGGTTTTTTACAAGGTACTTTAACATTAAAATATTAAAAAAATAAAAAAAGAAGAGAGAGAACAAGAAATATACCTTATATAAGGAATGTTTCTAAACATTTTAGAGACCTTTTGTACATTTGTCTTATTTTTAGTGGTCTATTTATTTTTATATTAAAATATTAATATTTAAATTATAAGAAACTCAAAACTTATTTCTAACCATTGTGGTTGCTCTTAAGTCTTTTCCGACAGTCTTACCCAAATCCTCAGTAGATTCCGTTACGTCAAGAATGTCATCAACCACTTGAAACAGTAGCCTAATACATCTCGCATACTTTCTAAGCTTCTCGATCTCCTCCTCTGTTCCATCTCCCATTATGACCCCTAAAATAGCCGCTTCCTCCAACAATGCCGCCGTTTTGTGGAGATGGATTAATTCTAGACGCTCCAATCCAGCGTCGTGTGGATTCAATCTTTCGCTGCTTAGGTCAGTTACTTGCCCTGCTACTAACCCTTTTGTCCATGAATCATCCTCTCGGGAGCGACCAACCCACTCGACGCAACCGTCATGTGCTCAAACGCCAAAGCAAGGAGTGCATCACCGGCCAAAACCGCCATGTCTTCTCCAAATACCTTGTTTGAGCAAAAATTGGTTCATCGCTAGTGAACATTAATCAACATCAATGAATGATTCAACTATAGTGAGCATTTCTCTAAGCCTCCATATGATTTAGCAACATACTTGTTAGAGAGAGTCCATCTTTCCATCTACTGCATACGTGTTAGAGAGAGTCCCATTATTTGAATGTTAATCTTTACAGGTTCAGCTCATCAAGAAACTTCATCAGCATTTCTTAAAAAAATCTGAATCGCAAATCTGAACTAAAATCCGAAGAACACGATCGATCCCTTTGATGAATCGATGAAGATCAGCGGAAGTGGAATGAAGAATTTTGATTAGGCTCTGATACCATTTCAACTTTTCCCATGAACAAGAACAAGAAAGATAAACAAGAATCTGGGAAAAGATAATTTCTTCATTCAAGTGTAAAATGAGATACAAATCAAGGTTAAATACAATTGAAACTAAACCACTATACTAACCGAACTATAAAAGAGAGTAAACCAAGGTAAATCAACTATATACATTCTCTAATACTTACTAACTTGGTTTTGTTATGAAGAGTCATGCAAGTGGTTAGCAGTGCAACAAACCAATCAAAAGTTTCATCAGTATGCTCTGTACCTGTCTTCAAAGCCATCTTCATATCTCACAGACTGGCTAGACAAATCGGTTAAGCATCCACAGCGGTTAATCTGCGTCGAGATTTTGTAATCAGTGTTAGCTTTTGGAAATACTGAATACCTTGAACTAGACCTACATGGTTCAAGTGGTGAGTGTTCTGTTAAGGTAACTTCGCATTGACAGCAAAACCTACAAATAAACTTCTTAATTTGGTTTGGTTTTATGTGCTCTTTTTTTGCTCTGTTTTATGTTATCTCATCCACTTTCTCACTAGCTTTATTAGGTAGCTTCAGAAGAATGGAAAGAATGTCACTTATCAATTCAGAATCTCATTATGACAGCAGTTTCTAAAGCCAAGGTCCAAATCTTTGGCCTTATCTTGCTCATGACCTTGTAAGCTGGTCTCTGCAGAAATCAGTAGAATAATCGAGGAACTAATGGATCATAGAAAGACTTGGGATTTGATAACTTACTCAAGAACCATCAGCAACAAAATCATAGCCAAAAAAATAGAATCTAAGAAAGCAGAATACAACAAGAATCCAAAGAAAATAAGCGACACATCAAAATGAAAAACATATGTTGAATTACAATGGTTCACTGATATAAAAGAAAAGAAGACAAATTAATTTGATAAAACAGATACTAAACTTTCGAAATAATAAACAAAATCTCCATGGGAGGTAGGCTGGTAGACTAAATCATAAGATTTGGTATGGAGATCATGTATCACGAGTGGGTCTGCGACACCACAACCTTGAAGCAATAACTTTTTCTTCTCCAGGATCGCTATTGGTAATGCCGGATCGCAGGGATCCCGAAACCAAGACATACTTTTGGTGAAATCTAGCGAACACAATTTCTTCCATGTCCCCGAATCGAACGACCATATCACTTGTTGGAGCCAACTTAACTCGGAAACGCACAAGCGGTTATCAAGAATGCACATGTTGATTTTGTCAGGGTTAGGTAGATGGTCAAATGGAGCTTTAGAGATGACTTGAAAAGTTTCCGTGTGAAGATCGAAACGTAGTATTAGTACATTGGTTTCTTCTTCAGTTAACCAATAAAGTGACCCATCTAAATACACTGGATTGTGGTAAAGAATCCGATAAGGAGAGGCAGGGACAACGTACCTCCAAGCGTTAGTGCTAAAATCGAAAACTTCACAAGTAGTAACATTGTCTAGGCCACGTTCATGTGAGTTATACAAATCAACCAGTTACAAGTAGTACCATGGCCTTGCGAGTAGTAGCTAAGAGGGATCTTGTTGATCGTAGTAACAATGGACGACCCCAACTTAACTCTCGTTCTTGGATAATCAAAATCTTCAAAGGGTACGAATAAGACATCTGGATCTTGTGATTGCATGCGACGGCTCAACTGTTCTTGTTGGAAACGTTGGGACTCGATTGTTGATTTCCATGTCTTGGATACGGACTTGAATCTTGACAGAGGTTTCACAGGAAGTCTTTGGAGGATTAGCTCTACGACATGGTTTGGTAGTAATTCCATACTCGAGCACATAATTGTCTTGTCTCAAAACTGATCAAGACACGATGGATCTACGCTTATATTTATATACACGAGCTGAGCCAGAAACCGGGAGAAAAAAAAGGAAAACTTCAATTCTTTCGATTTAAAAAGGAAAATCTCAACACTTTCCCTTTTTTTTTTTAG